GCGATCGCGGTACTGTGGGTGAAATTACACCGGAGGGGGTCATGTTCGTTCATGTTTATTGTTCCTGTTCTTTTTTTCCTTTTCCTTCTTTCTTCCTTTGTGTACATAACGCCCTCCTAATTTTAAGGAACGTTTCGAAATATCTTTGAGTTATTTATTATTTCCTATGTAAAATAGTACTAAATATACAATATGCTAATTATTATACTGAATTTTGCATCTGAGTACGTTCAAGCGGAGTATTGAACATCTTGTTCCAAAAGTAAGACACGCAGAACTTTCAACAGCGGGTGATGTTGTTTCTCTCCCTTCCCCCGATTTTGCCAGTCTCCAGATATTCACTTTACTTTTGTCACATTGGTTTGCTTTGTTTGTTCTGCCATCCTCCAGGTCTATACACAACCTTTCCTTTCGACGGTTTCTGCAAACGTCAGTATTGCGAATATGAACACGGAATAAAAGACATCAAAAAAGGTCGAACTACTTTTATATCGTTTTTGGAAACTGCCTATTGAGGCAGATACAGCATGTGAATGTGTAGAATACGTGATATTAGTACGGACTCCACAGAACTTTGTCGTTGTGTTTGTTTTTAGTGAAGTTGACACGAACGAACATGACCCCTCCCGGTGTAATTTCACCCACAGTAGCGCGATCGCGCGATCCAGATCGCGCGATCACAGCGATCGCGCGATCCAAATCACGCGATCAGATCGCGCGGAGGTAGACTTTGTTTTGACAGCGCGCGCGATTCCAAATACGCGATCCATCAGCGTGCGCGCGAACAAATCCGCGATCCGGTCGCGCGAAGTCGGAAGTCGAAGCGCGCTCTTAAATTGGCCCAGGGCGAGCGGCACCCATTTAACGTGGCGCGCGCTTTGGGTGGGCATCTCGCTTTGGTTGCACTGTATCACTTGATTTGTCGTTACAAGACGTATGGCAGCTGGCCCCGAGATGGGATGTTCGCAGGTAAAGCAGTTTACGTCCTTCAAGATTCCCCCCTCTCATGCTCGGGTGTGCACTTAGGATTTTGGATCAGGTACATTTGAGTAATTGTCCATCTGATACGTTGAGCGAATCGTGAATGTGAGAGTCATCCAGTATTGTTGTAAGGTTCCCACCTTCTAAATTGGTAGATCATAACTTTCCGTGTTCAGATCTTCGATGCACTGCCATTTGTCAGACGGTACTTCTTTTACTGGATGAGATACACATTTGACAAAGAAAAACTCTTCATTAACACCTTCCAGCCTTTGAAACACAAACCTTTTTACGGTTGGTTAAACCTCCATTTCTTCTGTTTGTTAGGGTCAGAGTCATGGGAGGCGAAATTTTTGCCCACTTTTATTATTTATTGTGTATGCACTACCCCGAAGATGGGGAGGGCGTGAATTTGAACAGGACGTAGGATGCGTTTTACGTGGAACATCCTCATTTGGGACCACTGTCATACTGTCTTGTAACGGACAAACAAGTGATTACAGTTGCACCAAAGCGAGGATGTCCCACCCAAAGCGCCGCCACGTTAAATTGGGGTGCCGCCTCGCCCTGGCCAATTAAGTGGTATGCGGTGCGTGAGAAAAAGTTTCTTTTTTTACCTAACCAAATATCTCTTTATTTAAGGTGTGCCTTGCGGTGGAATCGGTTCCGGTGCAATGGGACGCGATTTTCGTGGTGGTTTTTGCAAATTTAGTCTGCGACCTGGTCTTGTAGAACATAAGGTGGACGTCATTCCAGTGAGTGAAGTTATTCGTGTTGGAATTCTTATTTTTGATCAGTGAATTATTCATAATCTTCACCAGGCTACTAATTACAGAAGTTACTAGCTGTTTGCAGTTACTGAATCATTTGCTTCGTTTGATTAAAAATAATAAGTTCGGAAAAGCCCTCATTATTTGGTATGGGCATTAAATAAGGGGGTCGCAAAGTCTCAGTTTGATTTCTGTTAAGCGACTTTTTTGTTTGTTCGACTTCGACCTGAAAGATAAGGATATCGCGTTGTTGTGTAGTAGGCGACGAAGAAGTGATAAGGGTGAATTTTTTACCAAAATAGATCGGGTCGATCAATTAATGAAAATG